TTTCGATTCAATCGTTTAGTTTTTTTGCGTTTGTGTAAGTGCAAGTGTCAATTTTGCATGTCAATTGGAATTTAGGAACGAATAGTGATAGGAACGGAATGAAAAACGCTGCAAAATTTACACACCGCCCTCGAGTAAGATATTGTTTGGCAACGAATCAGACAAAAACAAATAAACCAAAATTGATATGATAATAATATGTTTAGGCAATTCAAAATTCTTCCATAATTTTTTTTAAAAAACATTTGGTTAAAAAACGAGCGGTATTTCGAAAACATGACTGATAGACGTATAGAATAGAGTTTGACGACGATTAGAGTTCATACACATTCACAGTATAATAAGCGATTAAATACATCCAGAATGCATTATTCAGACGAAAAATTTACACACATAATCACACACACACACAATCTACTTACGCTAAGCGAAGGAACATTTTTATTTTTCGAAAAATATCTATTCATTCAAAATCTCCCCACAAAATTCATCATTCAAACGATTTGAACAAAAGCAACAACTCTATTTTCGTATCAAATTTTTTTTTGCACTAATCGCCTCGAATGGATATATTGATTTCAAATCAAAATATGTGATGTTTTAATTAAAACTTAAATATGTTAGAAATATTCAACATTTGAAACTCCAATTCGGTTGCGATATATGAAGAAAGTGTATGGTATAACGGAATTAAGCGAATGGAAGATGTTTCCCTTTTCGATGACACACAATTCGAGAATTTTTCTTTTCGAATTTTTTTCGTCAATTTCATTTTGTAGCATTTAGAGATGTGTGCTTCAATTTTGTTTTTCTCATAAATTTGTGATTGTCTGAAAGACTGAATTTTTTTTACATGATTCTTTAGAAGAAGAGAAAATCTACGAATTAAAGAAAGAGGGATAAAATGATAGAAATGTGTGGATGTCCGCGTTTTCTATTGCCGATTTCGTTGAATGTTTGTTTTTCGTTGTGCTTTTTTTGTACTCGCTCTCTCTCTCTCTCTCCCTTCTTCACTCTCTCAGTAATCGACCGAGAATCGAACGTAGAAAGAAGCAATTGTCTCGCATTTTGATACCGCATTTCTGTGAAATTCCTTTCGAAATCGGTTCGCTGAACTTTATCATTTCGTTGAACTGTCGATTCATTCCAATTTCGGAATGGAATTGGTTCGTTGAATTGTTTGTTGTTCGAAATGACGGTGTTCATTGTGCTTTGCGAATGAAATGCTCTCCACACACGGTGCAAAGAGGTTTAGAATTCGGTAATTAGATGCTAGTGCGATAGAAAGCGAGATGGAAAAGTTTCGGCAGAAAATGCGAAACGGAATTTTTTCCGTTAAGAAAGAAGAAGAAGAAGAAGAGAAAAATGAACAATTTTTTTTTCGATGTTAAGCGAATTCTTTCACGTATCTTTTTTCACATACATACACTTAAAAAAAAAAGAAACACACACACACACCAATTGGCCTCTCAAAAACGAAGTCTGACATTCATTTGATACCAAATTTATACACGATTTTACAATTGAATGAAAACGCATTTTAACGTATATGAATTAAGAATCTAAATTTTATCGAAGTTTATTTTGGATGCGCGAGCAAAGAATAGTAGGAAATAAGGCGAATCGAAAAGAGACAAAAGAAAATGATTACGGAGTAAAAATTAAAATTAAAATTCGAATCAACAATGCAATTGTTTGTTTCACGTTTTACTTTTTTGCAAACCAGAATTTAAATAAGGAAGAAAATAGAATCGGATTGGCGAAGCCATTAAAATTAACCTAATATATATGATATACAAATACACATTTTATACGAGAAGAAAAAAAACACACACACACCCACACACATACTTTATTATTTTGCCCACTAATTTATTGTAAAATATTTTATTTTTTATTGTTTATGGAGTAGATCCTTAAAAATCACCCTCCCCCATAGTCGAATATTATATTGAATTTTATTTTTTTTTTCTTTGCTTTAATTGGATTTGAAAATCAACATCATTTAATATTATCACTACATCGTTTTTGTTTTATATGTATTTTTTTGTGCTTTTTTTTGATAATTTATTGATTTTATTTCAAATTATATGACTTAATACCATTTCGTTTTTTTTTGTGTCTGAATCCAATTTTTTTTTTTTTGTCGAAGAGAAGAAAAAATTGTAGTAAATTTTAAGTTTTAGATTCATTTTGTTAATTTTAGTAATGTATCCCGTATCATTTAGTCTTAAAAGAAAAGAAACAAACACCGAATTACCCACAAGCAAAAGTGGTGCTTTGAAAATGTAGCTAATGATAGGAATGAAACAATAAATAAACCATTTATGGGTTTTCACTGCAACAACAGCAACAACAAAAAGATCACGTTTATTGTTAACTTTCTTATTTGATTCAGTTGGTTGAGCGCAGTTTTTTTTTTTTAATTTTCCATTTGAAAATACATCAGGCCCGTTTGCTCTGAATAAGGTAATCGAATTGAGCTGTTTGAATATGATTGCTTACTTTTGGCTTGTTCAACAGTCAGTTGTTTATTCTGCTGCCTTCGATTGGTCTGAATTCGCAGAATTTGCATTTTTTGAATTCAAAGAATTTAGTAGCTTTGTTACGCCTGAATAAAAGAATAAGAAATAAAAAAAGGAACGATTTTTAACTCTTTCAATGTCAATTCATGTGAAGAACCATTTTTTTTCTGTCATAAAATGTGTTTTGTGTATTTTATCTTAATTTTTAAACACACAGAGGAATTTACTAAGAATAAACTAAATGCAATCGAAGAAGAAAATGAAAAGAAATAAAAAAAAAACAAACACTTAGCACGATTTTAAATGTAAAGATGAATAAGAAGAAGAAAAAAGAGAACTATTCAAGAAGCAACAAGAATAAGAGAAAAAAAATATTAATGCAAGTTTTAAGTTTTTAATTGTTGAACATTACATGTAAATGAAAATGAAATAATGCCAATTACATTTTTAAGCTCATAAACACATTTTACCCCCGAATACAGACTTATCGATTAAAGTAATGAACAAGAAAGAAAGAAATAAAACACACACACACACGTAAAGAGAATTAAAGCAAAGAAGAAGAACATAGACCCAGACGATGAACAGAAGTAATTAAAGCTATTTTAACGAAATATTGAATAGATTTTCCGAAGATTTCAATTTGCTATATAATTCAATAATAAATAATTAAATACGCTCACACACACACACACAAACTCAGACAGATCACATTCAAACAAACACCCAATTTTCAATCGATTGAAACCCTTTTTTTTCAAACTAATGATTACAAGTCATGCGCCCAGGTAGGCGGAGCAAAGTGAGAAGAACGTGTGTTTTAGAAATCCGAGTCAATCGATTTTGCACGATTGCACTCCCATGCAAACAATTCACATGTTGCATCATTGTTTCTCTTTTAGTTCATTTTTTCTTTCTATATAAAATATGTTGATTCACATTAATCTATAGTAAGTTGTCATTTGAAATCGAGAAAAGAGTAAAACAGATTTTGAAGACGAATCGAATGAAAAAAAAAATTATCGATGAAAATGAAAAAAAAAAAAAAAATCACAGCCACACGCACACATCCGATTTCTGTTCTCTTTTTTCTTTTGTTTCTGTTTCTGTGTAATTTAATTTATGTAATCGCATAGTGAAAAGAAAAAAAAAATGAAGAAGTTTATTATTATAACTACAATTTTATCATTATTATTTTGCAGAAAAAAGCAAATATATTATTTTTACAAATATACATTTCAAATCGCTAGTTTTTATTCGAACAAAACAACAACAACACACGATTATTTTTCTTTTTGTTGTTCGTGCAAGAACGAAATAAGAAGCGGAAAGATCTGATGCGCATGTTCATACTGTGACTCTCTGTAACTATATCGATATGTATATCGTATATATGTATATTTCATGCCATTTGTTTAACCAAGCGCCGCGATTTTATGCATAATTTCTTCCTCCACGCAAATGTGTCTGAATACTTTGATTACTGCTTTACACAAAATAACCACTCATTCGACGTGATTTTTTTTTGGAACTTACCTTTTGTCATACATCATCATTGCATTTTTTTTGTTGTTGTATGAAGGAAACCGCTTTCGATGAGAGAACGGTTTCGCTTATATCACATTCTTTTCTGTCGTTGTGGGGAAAGCTGAAGTTGAAGCTTCTCAAAAGATGTTTTGAAGCTTTACAATGCCGTACAAATGTTCGATCCAGCCGAATCGAATGTCTATTTCGAGCCTCACATTAAAAGAAACAAACACACGCCGATTAAGAAACAACAACATGTCATTTGAGAAATCCTTTGGGGGCCTTGTCTTTAAGTTAATAACGAATGAACGAACGAATACCACCAACAAACCTCCATCTGTCTCTCTTTTGCCTCTCTTGTGTCTCTATCTCTTTAGTAATTATATTGGATGTTTTTTTTTTATTTAGAATAACATGACGTCTATCACACTTTTATCCACTGTTTTGCCCTATCCTATCTACTTTTGTATAGGGACTACCAATTCGACAGACAAAACAATACAAACAGAAAAAAAAACAAATAAAATTTTCTTTATTTATTTTTTGGTTATGTTTAAGTTTATTTTTGTTTTTGTTTTTAAACGAAAGAAGAAAAAAAAGCCAACTTCGGTCATTCGTCGACGAAATGAAAGAAAAATGTTTTAGGGATTTTGCAATGCGATACGCCAACCAAATCTATTAGGGTTTAATTGATAGTCTTAAGTCGGGAAATCCATCATAAAAGAACAAAAGCACCAAAAACACACAAAATCGATTGATACACACCGATCAATTTTGAAACAAAAAAATATAAAATATCTCTATCTCTCTCTCTCTCTATCTATCTATCTATCGCCAAACACAAATTATCTGAAACCAAACAAAAATCAAACAAACCTGAAACAAAAATTCTCTGTTTTTCTTTCGGTTGTATTTGGATCTCTGTGCTGTATCTATATTTGATTTTAGGATGTTCGCCGAAGAAATTGTTTTCGTGTCAGCTGTGTGGTAAGGTGCTGTGTTCGAAGGCATCGTTGAAACGACACATCGCCGATAAGCATGCGGAACGCCAGGAAGAGTATCGTTGTATCATATGTGAGCGTGTGTATTGTTCCCGTAATTCGTTGATGACACACATCTACACATATCACAAATCACGGCCGGGTGACCATCAATTGGAAATGAAAGACATAAAATTTTTCTAAAATCATCTTTATTATTTACACGTAACACCACGAGAGACAGAAATAGAAAAGGAAGCGTACACGTGTGTACTTCGGAATGAGAGAAAGGGAGCAATGACAGAACGAATCGAATGAACGAATAGAATTTATTCATTTTGTTGATAGAAATAATTAGAGAAACGAGATTAAGAAGCGTACAATCAAAATACGAACAGAAGCAACGGAAAACGAACGAAAGCAATACGAAACTATCGACGGTTTCGCATAAATACAGCAAAAACAATTGATTAGGAAAGTCAGCGCTCAAAAAGACAGTCAATTTCATGACACAAAAAACATTCAAATGGAATCGAAGCAAATTTTCCATTGAACAATTCTTTCCTGCATCAATCAAATTCTATTTAGAAGAAGAAGGAGAAGATGAAGACATACAATCAATTTAGAACTACTAATCTTATACATAGAGAATTAAGGAGAATCTCAATAAGCCTTAAAAGACACGCAATCATCTTAAGCAGATATACTGAAACAATGAAACGACGAATTACTCGCTCGCTCACTCACTCAGCAGCATCGAAACGTTCGTTCCATACAAAGTAACGGCAAAGAAAAAGAAAGAAATAAGCAAATCAATCGTTTACTTGAACTGAATTCAACCGCAGCTAGCAACAACCTCAAACACAGACACATACACACAAACACCCATTCAATTTCCCTTGTGCACAGATGCTCATATTTCACATCACAGCGAATTCAACCGGTTGCAGAGATCGTTGGTCAAGCGCGTGCTCGCTCACTCAATCAAATCACCGTCGTTAGCCATTCATTCAATCAAATTGATCGCCAAAGGTTAGAAAATAAAACAAAATCAAACAAACAAATCCAAAACTCAAAATGCCAAAGCAAATCTTCCTCTCTCTCTCTCACACACTTTCCTTTTGTAACTTCTACAATATTCTAGAACATTTTACTCAACACAAAACCAACTTTGTGCATTCTTCTCTCTCTCTCTCTCTCTCTCTCTCTCTCTCTCTCTCTCTCTTTCTCTGTCTAATTCTCTCACTCTGCGTATGAACCTTAGGTACCAATTTAGTTACGATAGTTCTCCTTCTTCTCTTCTTTTACCTATCGCATTTACTTTGCATACGTTTTCTTTTCACTGAAATTTTTTCTTTCAATTGCCAAACAATTGAAACGTATCACGATTTGCCTCTGTATACATTTTCTGCTCGATTCAACACAAACATTTCAAACAGAGCCTTTAGTTTTGTGAACTCTTTTTTGAACCAGCAATTAGTTCTATTCTTGTAACATCTATTTGATCGAAATTGTATAGTAACATTTTTTTGGCGCACGTATTTCACTAACAAACCCAGTTATGCTGCTATGAATTTTAAAATTTGCTCCTATTTTTGCAACAATTAAAACAACAAAAATAGAGAGATGCACTTTGGCCGGCGATCATTCGGGCAATCGAACGACAAAACACACACCAATCGACCGAATTATCAACGCAAAGTGCATCGCGCAACGTGTAATACCTTTTTTTGACTAACCACTTTCTTTTTGGGCTGCCATTCCTTCTTTATATGCTATAAATACAATTGAAGCTGTTCTGTCTCCTTCTCTCATTCTCTTCTATCTCGCAGTATTTCTCACACACTCTCTCTTTAATCCTTCTACTTCACGCACTATTTTTTGGACATAATTGATCTCTCTACATTTTCACTTTGTTTGATATATTTGCTGATGCTGCTGCTTTTACAAAAAAAAAAACCAATCAATTTATATCTCTGGATGATTTGATCTCGCTCCCTTTCTACAATAATTTTGCATTCTTCTCTTCGCACAATCAACGAGTTTACAGTTTTTTTATAAAGTCGCAACAAAAAAAAAATATTTCTTAGGCCTGCTAACGACAAATTACTCTTTTTACTACTTTAATTTCGGTTGGCTTCTTTTTTCTATATCATTTTAGAGTGTGATAATTTTTGTTTTTTTTTTCTTTCTCTCTCACTCTTCTAATATAATCAAATAAAGCGGATGTAATTTATATCGCATATATAATATACTATTCTAGTTTTTAAGCCAAAATACATTTATCGCCTATCGCTCTGATATTTAGAACAATTTCTCACTGTCTCCGGGCAAATAGGAAGCAGAATAAGGGCCATTCTGTTTAAACCAAACAAAAAATATATATCAGCTCTTTCGTTTTATTCCTCTTTTTTTTAATCAAATCATATTGTATTAAAAATATCATTTCAACGTTAAAACAACGGTTAAAAAAAAATCTTTCGTTTATGTTTCTTGGCTATTTCGTTCCTTGTTTTGATCAAACTTTAGTATTTCCATTTCTTTTCCATTGAGTTTTCGGTTCCTTTGTGTTCCCTTGGGTTTTATTTCTTCTTATTCCATCGTTTTCCATCATCGTGCTCAAAAACACACGCGCGCTCTTGAGCTCGTGATCATCCTTTTTATTTACTTTTATTTTCTCCGTAGTTTAGTCGAATGTTTTGTCTGTCACTTTTTAAAAAAACAAATTCTGTTGTTTGCTTGAACAAATTTATTGCATGAAATCGATCCGAAATTTCGTTGTAGCTATCGATTGTTGTAAAAAAATAAATCCGTAGACCGTTTTGTAAAAATCGAAAACATTTCCACAGCAAGAAAAATAAAACTAAAGTCCATGTGTTAATGTAAGTAATGAGGTGATTATCAAGCAATTGATATTGAAACCTTGCGTTTTTTTCTTTTGACATGCATTTTTCTTCGGCGCATGCGTGTTCTTCGGTTTCAATTTTTTTTTTATTGATTCAACTTTTCTGTTTTTTTTTTCTTTCCTACTTATTTACCTGTTTTCCTAACTGATCTGTTTTTGAATCCGTGTTTTGTGTAGGTAGGTACATCATTATTTATTCATTTCACCGAAGGATTTAATTTAGATGATGTGTACGATCACATTCACATTTTACCTATTCTTCCCCCTCCAGAACAATATATCACATCGCTCCGAACTCATTATCGCTCATTCAAATGTTCTTTTATTTTATTTTTATTTTGCTTTTTTTTTCATCCGATCAATATTTCTTTTTGTGTTCGCGCGATGTAAATTTTTTTTTCTGTTATTGTTGCCCGCACATTCGATGATTCATTCACACATTCAACGAAACCAAACCAAAAGAAAAATACAAATCAAGCAATTGTATTGTAACTAACACATTTTTATATGCCTCAGCAAAAGCTTCTGTTAAAAAAAAAAACCGAAAAATTGTTTGTGCAAGTTTTGTTGTTGTCGTTGTGCATCGAATGTATCGGCCGTATTATCTAAGTTAAGTGCTTCGTGTCAATGAATAAATAATGCCATTTTGTCTGTAACGCTGTTTTGCATGCTAATCTATTGTTGTTTTTTTTATAATTTTGGATATAGCTTGAAAAATGATTTCGAAAATCGACTTTCTAAAACAAACAAAACGAGAAAAGAAAGCAGAAAAACAAGAATAGAGAGGAAAATCGTTTATCAAATTGTAATTGATTTAGCCATGGATTCAAATCTGTGTGAGACTTTCTGAAAAGAATTTTATACTCTACTTTCCTCTTTATACGCCACTCTGTGCGAATGCTTCGTCTCCTTTTTTTTAAATGTAGAAAATGACAAAAACAAAAATCAACTTTTTTTTTCTAAACCAAAAAAAAAAACGTTCCTTAAATTCTCTTGAAAATTGAATCGAAAAAAAAAACAAACCAAAAATTCTAGCAACAACAAAAAAAATCCGAAAAAAAAGAAACTGAGCAAAATTTGTATTGTTTTGTCTTCTTGTTGTATTTTTTTCAAAATCTCTGCAGGCTCTCAAAATACGATCGCACCAGCCTCATCGTCGTCATCGTCTACATCGTCGATGTCGTCATCGTCACCAACACAGCTACGTATGCCACCGCCGACCAGCGGCGGTATCAATGAACCGCAAGAATGTCCGTACTGCCGGCGCACATTCTCATGTTATTATTCGTTAAAAAGACACTTTCAAGACAAACACGAACAATCCGACACACTGTACGTATGCGAATTTTGCCATCGACGATATCGCACCAAAAACTCGTTGACAACGCACAAAAGTCTACAGCATCGCGGTTCCAGCGGTATGCTGAAGCGTCTACTAAAAACGTCAGCTATAAAAAATGTCATTGGCCATTCGACGCATCCACATCCGCATCTGTTTGATTTTGCTGCCGAACTGGGTCAACCACCGCCAAGTCTTGGTTTCAAAGAAAAGCATCTCGTTTAAGCGTATATTTAGATTACATTTTTTTTCCTTCGTCTGTTAACACGAAAAAAAAGAGAAAAAAAAAGTATCAAACTAAAATAGGCTCTAAATCAACTCAAGTGATTCACTTGCGATCGCCAAAGTTCGTAAGTTCTAAAAGAAAATCCATCAACAACAAAACGTCCAAAACGCTTGCAGCATCCGAGATGTTTATACCGGCTCCCGGCCTCAACCTCGGGACGATGATTTAGTGGAACAACATTGTGTGAGTGTGTGTTTTAGCAGCGCAACAACATTTATTTTTTTGTTTGAATTCAAAGTGATTGTCATCTGGCGAACGTGCAATATACATATTTTATTAAAACATATTATTATATAGCGATAATTTTTAGACAAAGAGTGAAAAAAAACAACAACAACAACAACAACAGATTTAAATGGAAAGAAAAAAAAACCAACAAAAATCACCCAGAAAAAAAAACACGTACATATTTTTAATGGAATTTAATTCAACAAAATGATAAGAAAAATAAAACGAGAGAAAACTACAAAAAAAAACATATAATTACAACAAAACATTATCAAACTTCGTAATATCATATTTATGATCTAATCAGAGAAAAAAAAATTGTGTGGTTCTTTATGGATAATCATAGCCACAAAACAATTTCAATATCAGAAACGATTCAAACACTATATGCATTTGTACAGAACAATTTCTATTTTATAGTCATAGAAAAAATCCCCCCCTTTTTTTTAACTATACACAATATACATTTACTACATTTATACATACACCTAAACGTAGAACATAAGCTATAATTTCGTTTTATTTCAAGAGCATTTCGGCGATGCCGTTTCGATTCGGCTTTCAAAGCCATTAATGGATCGAAAGACATTCCAAAATGCAATGTAGAGAATACATTTTATTGCCCAACACGGCTCTTATTTTGAGTTTTTTTTTTTAATTTCGAAACAACAACATAATTCTCTCAGTTGAATTTTTCCTGTCAAGAAACCGTTTCCACTGATTATAATTCAATAACACGTCCGAAGGGTATCGAATATTTGCAATCTAACTCTTAACAGGAATCAGTTGAAATTGAAAAGAGAAAGAAAAAAAAACAATAAACAAACAAAACCTATAAATACAATATGAAAATAGCATCTAAATGAAGAAGAAAAAAATAGCATTTAACCGAAATAGTTAAGAAGCGTGTGGAAAACAAATAGCTAACTAAATAAGGCCATAGAATACAACACTACTGAATATAGTCATAACGATACAAAACGAACATTGGTTTCGGAAGAAAGACTTGAAGAAAGTGCTCTCGAAACCACAGTCGCCACACTATTGATACATGCAAGCGCGCAAAGTACAAACGCCCTTCACACCTACACACCTACACACACCTAAACACACACTTTAATATGATAATAAAATTCAACAAAACGCAACTATGCCACAATCTGTTCATATAAAGTTAAAAAAAATGCAGCATTTTGACTGAGCCTCAAATCACACCACACTCAGCGCTGCGCCTCCAAAAAAACAATCACTCAAACACGACCATTATCCTCGGTTCGAATTGTAAGAACACATTCCGATCGTTCCACATCGGAATGGAACACACAGTTTTATTTTAATTTCTCTTTATCTACCTCGGGCTTTTTTTGGCGGCGCCGGCGTGTCTATGAGTGTGTGCGTGTGCATAATTTGAGGTGAATTTATTGTTCTCGCTCAATGGTCTGTTAATTGGATCAAATGCTCAATTTATAATATTTTTTTTTTCATTCAAAACAGTATAACACCGCAACTAAGGATTCACAAAATATCGAATCTTCCAGTGCCTAAGCTTGAAAATCAACAACGGCCATCGATCTCTGTACACAAGAGCTTGATAATTCAGGGATATAAAAGAAAAAATGGAAGTTCAAATTTTGTGAATAAATATGGCAAATCCCGATACAAAAAAAAAAAAAAAACACATACACACTGTATACTTCGTTATACTGTAAATGAATCAAGAAACGGTTTCATATTTTGCAAAGACACACATTTCGCTCTTTTGTTCATAGCAACCAGTTGAAAGCTCAGTGATTCATAAGAATATACATAAAAAAAAACAAATCGAAGTACAAAATATATTGTAACTAATTAACAAAAAGAAGAAAAAACAACAAACAGATTTGAACGAATAAAGTGATGCCAATGTTCAATGGCATCCGATTTCTTTTCCATATGTATTCGATGGAGATTTTGTCATTTTTGTCCCCCATTCTTATTGATGAATGCATTTTTCGCACCTGAATCAGTGGCGAAAAATGATTATTATTCAATTTGAACTCAATAACAACAAAAGAGAAAACAGACGGAAAAATGTCGTTTAATTCACATATCCAGACAAATTAAAAAATACGGGAAAAATAAAAATGTCTTTTTGTAAAAAATAAAGAATATAAAATACATCATTTAGCATGTAGTCAATGATGAAGAAAAAAAAATCTATTTCGATATTTAAATGTAAATGATGTCTTTGAAAAAAAAAAATCTTTATTCATTCATTTCTGAATTTTAACGTAACATTTAAATTAAAATGGTGTACCTTCACAGAGGATATTTGGAAAAAAAATGGATAAAAGAAACAGCCAATGTGGTTTAAACCATGAAGTGTGTATTGAGAGAAGACAGAAATTTTTCGTCTGTGTATCACACATACATCAAAACGATATGTTTGTTTGCCATATAAAGTAAATGAGAGTAACAAAAGAGAACGTTGCCAGGAGCAAGTCAAATAGAAAAAAAAATAAAAAGAGAACTATTTACAAAAGAAAAATATTGAAGAAAAAAACAACAACAACAACTAAAAGAATCAGGTATCAATTTTCAGGTGAATCACGAAAAAAAAGTTTTATATGTATTAACTTTAGCTTAAATAAAGAGAAAAAAAAAACATTATATTAGAAGCGACGTCTCAACGTACTTTTTCTTATTTAAAAAAGATCCAACAGACAAATGTTCGGGCATTAAATATAGCGACTCTTAACCGTTTCACAATCTGATGTGTCCATATCGAAGAGCAGCACAAATTCGTTTTTATTCGAACACGATTGCCCCTATCACATACGGGTCGTATTGAATTTCGAACACGAATCCCAAATGAACCATTTGCGGAGATATCCAGTGTACAGCGGAGCTGTGCGGAGTTCTGCGGAGATACCGTACATACGCTATACGTGTGAGCGAAACAGCACTCTTTGCTGTGTTTACATTTCTATTGTTCAATACACATCTAAGTAGCCATGAGCGCACTGCTTCAGATATAGTGTATGTATGGCATCTCCGCCGAACTCCGCACGGCTTCGCTGTGTACTGAATTTCTCCACAAATGGTTCACATGGGATTGTGTGCTCGTCTAATGGAATCCATTGAAATACTTTATACGAATATCAGCGGCTGTACTCCAGTTTAATATATCAATTTCAAATTCAGGAAACAAAAAAAAAACATGTAACGAAAAAACCTCGAGAAAACGAAACGTACAAAAAAAAACACTTTCGGTTGCAAATCATTTTGAAAATAAAACAAACAAAAACTGTGATGTAGCAAACTGTTTTTTGGCTTATCCGAAAATTTTACACAGAGAAAGAGATAGAAAAAAAAACGTATATATATTTACAAATGAGAGACAGCGTTGATTTCATATATATTCGAATATATTCTCACCTCTTTCTGTCTTTTTTTTTCGTCTCCATCTCATCATCACCATCTCGATGAAGAGATGCCATAGTCAATAAATATATCTGCCCGCATATTATATTATCCTTGAAATGATCCCAAATTTTTTGAAAGCAAACAAAGGATATTATGGAATACGATTTAATGACTAACATTTTCTCGTTCTTTTATTGAAATAAAATGAAGTCAACAATATCTTCAGGGTACATCAATCGTTAAATACAGATACATTTCTTATACACGTATATAGAATTATTGAATTGAAAGAAGAAACAAGATGAAGAACAGAAGTAATCGAAATAAAGAGCAGCAAATTGCATATTTACGTATAAACAAACAAAATATTAAACTAATTTTAGTAGCTGGTATTGATGTAATTGCTATTTTTAATGTAAGAATCGGCGCACAACGGAGCAGTCATTAAGCCCAAAATCATTTAATGTGAGAAACACGCGCACGTCTTGTGCCCATTCAAGTTGAGAGAACAAACAATGGCTGGTTGAGATTTTGATCGCGCGCAACACAATTACAATTGTAAATATAGCGATGGGCTTATATTGTTGGCCGAAAAATCGTGCCGTATCAATCCAACGAGCCAAGAGCTGCCATACACCATTTTTCTGTCAATTGTTTAGCAGCCATTTTCTTTTTAGTTCTTTCTTATCGAGATCTCGAACACATTTTATTACACTCTTCTTTTTTTTTAATTACACAAATAGAGTTATTATATGTAGGACTTTAATAACGGGCCAACGATTCATAGTTAGACATTTTGAGCGCAACAGTTGCTTTCTGTTTGCGCGGCATACATACACATATATATATATATATATGTATAAGTGTCTGGGTATCACTTTAGTATCTTGATTTCACGAGGACTTTTAATAAGTTTTGACATGCGTCAACAACCATCTTGGAAACGCACGCACACAATTTCGATTCTGTTACTTTTCCACAACTCTCTCTCTCTCTCTCTTTATTCACCCTATGATTTTGTTTTGGCAGACCCTCCGCCACGAACACACGACGCAACATATCATTTTACTTTCAATCTGAATTTTTAGTCCCAGTGTTTCGCCCGTAGCAAATTCATATCTCTCGAAAACACAAACGGAACACATTTCTTTTCGACGACAGAGAAAAAAAAATACAAAAAAAGCTAAAAACTAAAAAACAAAAAATCTTTTCGAACATCTGTGATTGCATTAAATTTTACATAAAGAAAAGAAAAAAATTTAAAAAAAATGTTATTAATTTTCAAAGAACTGATTAGATCATTATTAATTGAAATTTTTTTTTTCGACAAACAAAACTCTCATTTTTATTTCGGTTTGAAAACGTTTGTAAAATATAGGATTGAGAGGAAGACACGATGTAGATGAAAATGACGATGAATAGCAAAAGAAGAAACAAAGAGAAAAGTAAACAAAATTTTAAATCAATTTATTTGTGTTAGTGATTTTGGCAAACCAAAGATTTTTTTTGCTTAAATTTATTTGGTTCTCACATTCACCAAAATGGAATGTGTAAAAAAAATGGATGGAAAAAAGGAAATGTTATGATTTTTTTTTTAAAATAATTATTATTTTTCTCTCATTTTTTTAGTGCACGTTTTCTTTAATAAAAAAAAATGCAATCATATCTAAATCTAAATTCTAGCGAATTTTCCTCTAAAACAATTGTAGTGGAAATCAGAGAATGCGTGGGTTTGATTAAGCATATTTTACATATGATGCCTGCGATCATTCAACATCGATGATGTTACCTGCGATCATTCTCATTTTTTTTTTTCGTGGGAAACATTTCTCTTCGAAACTCTCTGACACAACTTTGAAATTCTTTAACTCTTTCATAGAGTACAGATGAAAGCGAAACAAAAAAAAAACTGAAGCCAGGACAAAGAAACACACTCTTTTGGGCCAACACGATTTCTGCACGGAAAATTGAAAAATGAAAAACTCGATTGAATTCGATTTATTTGCCATACAGAATTCCCCATTCGTAGTTTTTTTTTCGATTTTCTCATGAAATACCAATTCGACGCAGTAAATTCGCATGGTTCAAATTCAAATCAAATGCAAACAATGAATAAAACAAAAGAGATCATTTTAACGACAAAATACAATAACAAATTTCGAAAAGCAAATGAAACAAAACAAGAAAAGAGAAAAAAAAAGAATTATCAACAACAACAAGAAAAAAGTCCGAATTTATGAATTTTAGCATTTAAACACTTATTAAATAATAATTAACTTTAATTGAAATTAATCTAAACATCAAAAGAAAAAAGGAAAACAACATTAATCTAAATAAAATCTGTGTAAATATTCTTGAGATTTTTGTTAAAACTTACATGAATGAATACAACAACAAAACGATACAACAACAACAACAACAAAAATTAAATACATGCTTAATATTACTATCAATGGAAAATTATATAAGTGAAGAATTATGAATAATTAAATAAAACAATTTCAATGTCAACATGTATTTCCTTGTTTATACTTGTATACTGAACATTTTAAAAGAAAACACACAAAATAAATGAGACATAACGCAAAGCGGCGAAGAAGGAGATGGCATACGGCAAAGACGTTGAAGATGAAATGTTTGATGAAAATCACGGTATCGATCAATCTAATAGATGTTCAGTTTCTGTCCGTGAAACAAATAGAGAGAAAAATGGTGTTCATTCAGCAACCGACCGAATTATGGATTAGTTCGTATTTGTCAATCAACTGATGTATGGCGAATAAAAAACACTTTTTCATTGTGCAATTCATTCCTTTTCTCACTTTCTTTCTATAATTTTGCATGTAACAATTTCAGGAGAGCACGGAAAAAAAGCCAAAATATTCTCAATTATGAAATTGACTTCCGCCGTGATATCCTCGTTTGAGTCTAACTTTCTTTTCAAAATCGTTCATCGTTTCCATTTTGCCAGTTTGTTAAAGTTTTTGTTTATGTTATTTAGGTTCATTTTTTTGTGAATTCTCTTCTTAATGAGTTGCACGTGACAACATTAAAGAAATTTGTACAATTTTTCTTCAGGCGAATTCAGGTGTCATAATTATTTTTTTTTCGTGGATTTGCCGGCCTCGTGGACGTGTCTGTGTTCACCAGTCGATAAAAAAAATCTAATCTCTAAGAGATTTCTGTAGTAAATTGAAATGTACGATCGTGAACACTGCACCACAATCGTATGAGCCGTGCGTATCCAATGTTTTAAATATTTGTTTAGAAATTAAGGTCCATTCGGTATGAAACTCTGTAGAATGAACGTAGTGTGAGCCTCACACAAAAACGCATGCGCGCAATCGACCAAAATCCAAATCGAACACATGAAATATTCCATAGCTAAGACAAGAAAAAAAAAACGTGGAGAAAATATAAACACCTTAAAATTCAATCACTCAGTTCAAATGTAACCGAGCTGCCTTTGTGACAGTACAACATTTTACAATCACCTCTTTGTGTCGATGTCAAGCAAAACAAACAAACAAAATGAGAAACAAAATGCTATTTTACTAATTGAATTAAGGAAAAACAAACCAATTTATCAATCAGAATAGTTTACTAAATACAGAGACAAAAAAAAATACACAGACAAAACATAGAAGAGCTATAAGAGAAAGAAAGAAAGAAAAACACCTTAAATGGACTTTTTGCGATATACCTCAGAAAAACAAACAAACATAATAAAATGATCAATTTTTAGCTAGCAATTAAATCAAATATTTACACAATTGCATCAAAGCATAATTTGTGTCTCATATTTTGTGTAAGCGACGCCAATTCAAATAAACAACAAGTATCTATCATTGAATTTTCAATCCACAAAACAAGCACACACACTCTTTTCAGATATTTAAGAATAAGCCATTTTAATTGAGTCAAAGTCCGTGTAGTTGATTGTGGTTGCGTCAGTTGGATCTTGATGGATTTGCGAAGCAGATTCATGCAACTATCCCCTTCCGGGTAATTGGTTTGAATACAATTCATTTATCTCTATTTTATCGAATGCAATGTAGGGGAGCTCAAGTTTTAGCCAAGTAAGGATTAAGAAATAGAATTGTAACAATGAAAAAAGAAGAGAAAAAAAAAAATGAAAAAAAAAACAACAAGGAAAAGACATGGACAGATCATAATGCATCTTCAATTTAAATATGAGAAGAAAAGAATCGAACTCAAAATCCCAAGTTCAATGGGACAAAGAAAAAACAAGCAAAATGGAACTACTTTTAGCATAAATAAAAATATTTTATTTTTTAATTTCTGAAAATAAAATTCACTCATTTGAAATATGAAATATACACAAGAAAACGGTGTTTGACATTTTGATGTTTACATTTTTCAGCATTTGAGAGACGGATCCATAATACACCACTAATATTCGAATATTGGTAAGAAGAAGGAAAGATAAGTATTGGACATAGACTAAATTAGGTAAATGTTATGCTTGAAACAATTTCAAAAGGTAATGTTCTATCTTTAAGGTAAGGTTGAGTCTCTCAAAAGATACAAAAGGTAAGAATTAGGAAAAAGTATCAAAAACGAAACAGAAAATACCAACAATACTGAGTAATTAATCAATTCTATTAAAAGTCTATCTTACCAAATCGTGAAAACGACTCGTTTTAAACGAACCAACTGTTTCCATAAGAAAATTGGCCCTAAAACCAAACCGTCTTCTGCAAACTGATCCTTGAACCAGCAATAACAAAGCCTTACTTTCGCCGTTGTAATGCTTTCATTCATATTCAAAACCTGTCAACCTTGGTAATCATTTCGACGTTCTGTTGGTTTCGCCGAACTGTCAGTAAGAACTGTCATTGCTGTTTACACAAGACTCACTGTCTGAATAACAAGCGTACAGAAAATCTCCATCATTATAGGATTGGCATTTTCATAAATAATTGAGTGAAGTGTGAAAAAGATGTTAGACGGTTGGTACTGTAGATCAATGGCAAATCAAAATGCAACGCAAAACAACGACAACGACGATGATAACGAGCCAAATGTCGTCGATGACTCCGATGAAAGTCAAGAGGATATTCCAGTGGCTCGTTTGATGCCTCGCATCGACTACAAAGCCCAATACACCGCACTGAAAAAGAAACTCAAATTTTTGCTTTATGTAAGTAGACAGGTGAATTTGATTTTGGTATTTTATTGATTTTTTTTTTTCAACGTTTTCAATTTGATAGGAAAATGAATTCTTTCAAGATGCGTTGCGTTCAAGTCAACGCCGCCTGCTCAAAGTAACGAGAGATCGTTCATTTCTACTTGATCGATTGTTACAGTATGAGAAACCCGAAAATTCTGAGTCTGACAGTGACGATGATACCGAATCATCAGAAGATGACGGCAATCGCACCGAAAATGTTAGGAAGTAAGTGTGAATTATCATTTTTTTCAAACTTCCGATAAGAGGCTTTCTTTGATGCGTTCCAGTTTATGTTCTCGTGTTCATGTTTTTGAACCGGGCTGCTTTGGTTAGACTTCTGACTGATATTCCATATCTTTTCAGGCGAAAAAATAGTGCATCGAATGCGACTCAAAATAAAAACGCCAACCCACCGAAACGACGGAAACAAACGCAGAAGAAAGTCGGACGACCGTCTGCTGTCATCAACACAGACACAATTACCGATGGCCACATGACCGCCGAAGAGGTTGAACGGCATTTACAATCGAAGCAATCGCTCATCGGCATGGTTCCAGAGGCACCGGCAACTGTGCCCACCGAAATGTTCAGCAATGAACCGTCACTGGATAGGTAAGCTGTGCGATAAATAAAGGGCTGCTATTGAATGCATGTTTTCATGTCTTTGATAAACGAAATTTACTAAATGTAACTCATTCGTTTCAGTGAATCAAATCTGGCCGATACATCGCCGAATAGTATTTTGGGTGAAGATATTGGAAGCATTGAATTGGGCAATACTCATGAATGAAAAATCAAGTGTATATGTTTTTTTTTTTATAGAAACTCTTTTCATTAAGTAGTCTCAGTCTAGTTTAAAAGATTCATTTTCGAATTTAATTTACACGTATTTCTCATTTTCCTCCCAGAATGTATGGAGAACTTAATAACAATTTATCTTGTCTACATTTATGAACAATAAACCGATATTTCATGACTTTTACAAATAGATTCATGCTGTTTTTCATTCAGTGCCGAGTTGATTCGAAGGTAAGAGGCTTTTTTTTCGTTCGCTGAATGTGCTATTATACTGATAAAATCACATGAAATAGGCTTATTGCGTCTATTCAATCCGAAATCTAGTACCTTTCGCATAAAAATCGTTCCGACGACATAACCAACAGACAAACCATCTGAATTCGACCTACGACGCAGTTCGTCGCACAAACAAAGTGTGTGTATTTTCATACACGGTACGTATGAGCATCACATGACTGTATTCCATTCTAATACTACAATCCGTGTGGCAGCCATTTTTTATATTGGTCTCACTCTGTGCACAATACATACCCGACAGCTGACTTACTCGAATCGAACTGCTCACACGGTGATGGTCGGATCGTATCACGAGGTTTTATTTCACGTTTGACTTCATTACTCCTCTATTCGTTTGGGCCCTCATTTAAACGCAAAATTTCACAAAATCATCATTCAAAAACAACTAAGTCACATTTTATTTTTCGCGTTTGCTTTCAATCATTCAAATCATTTCGGCCAGTAAAATCCGAGCAGAAATTTCTATTTCATAAAAAAAATCGCAGCAATATTTTGAGTGTTTCATATTGAGTAGTTCTTTTGTGCATTTTAATTTGTTGAGTAAGACGAAAGAAGAAGAAACGACACAATTTAAGCATCGAACGACAAGATATAAACATGAGTGTGTCAGAAGACGGAAGAGATCGATTATTATCAGCGTTAAAATATTTTGTGTTATTAAATTTCGATCATTGAACGACGACGACGACACATTTTTTTTCTGTTTTTATCAGAAGCAACGGCAACAAAAAAAAGAAGATTAATTCAGATGGTGTGAGAAACCAAACAAAATAAAACAAGTGCATTTGTTCATCAATCAGTGATTACGAGAACGGGGAGAAAAATATAAAATATAACAACAATAAAAAAAAAACATCAAAAAATATCGAAACAAGTCATCATCGTTACCACAATCTCAATCATCCATAAATGTTCCAATTCAACGCGTTGAAAATTATTTCGTTCCAACAACGACGCAATCAATTGTGTGTGCATGACCTTATTGGATTTTCATTTACCAACCACGGAAGAAAGTAGTCAGTCAGTTCAAGTTTTTATTTTCTTTCTTTCTCGCATAACAATATCTATACGAGACTCCGTTGGCAATTCATGCGTGAACAACCTGGTGCTGCAATTGATTTGCCAATTTGGAAAGAAGCAAAAAAAACCCGAAGAAATCGTGTGTAATCAAAACACAAGCGAAAATCGAATAATAAAATAATTCAAATAAAGAAATAAACGCAAAGCAAAGCAAAATAAAGCCAACAAAAAAGAAAGGGGAGAGGGAGAGACAGAGGAAGAAAGAAAGAAAATGCAATCGATTTGCTGGACAACGCGGCTGGTATCGCGAGCATTGCGAAGTGGTTTCTCAACGCTGGTCGAGCCAAGCAATAAAGTCAAGCCACATTTTGTATCGGTTGCATGTGGTTTTCCCAAAGATTTCCTCCGGTCAAAATACAAATTGGGCAGATTCGGTGAAGATGCCTGGTTTGTTGCATCCACACAAAATGCAGACGTCATCGGTAAGTGTTGTCAAAATATTTTTTGTTTTATTTCTGTGAAACGTAAGAAAGAATGAACTGGAAAAAAGAAGAAGAAGAAGAAAAAGCCTCTTGTTCCAGTTACGACAGTATACCGTAGTGTCAATGTTTGATTCAGTGACTCGGTGTTATGTTTTTTTTTCCTTCGCTGTGTTTATGTGTTGGTTTATTCGAACGAAGTGCGTAAAACGAATCGAATCGAAGTGCGCACAATACGAAGGGTGTGCTTGTATGCCAGAGATTATCGTCTGAACGCTAGTTGAGTGTGTACGGAATGAGAAAGTTCTTTGTTTGAACCCGGATGAATTTTATTTCGATGTCGTCGTCGTCGTCGTCGTCGTCGTCGTCTTACGTAACACATGTGCAACGATATGATTTATGGCTACTTAATGCATATTGGTTTTGCCTTGCATTCACCGATTTGTCTCATGTGTCATTTTGCTCGTCTTCATCGTCATTATCCCATTTCACTGACGTCAAAGAGTGAATTGCGTCAAATGGCGCAGCTTTCATTCGAGGAGAGTACACTTTTTTGCCACCAACTGTGTCATCTTGTTCACGTTGATGACACTTTGACAACGATATAAATAGATAAATCGATCGTATGCATTCGTCTCGTCACATACATTTTGAAATGGTGGAACGAATCATCCGCGAAGTGTTTGAAAGTGTGTTTGTACAATGCACTGGATGTCACTATAGTTTTTAACGAGTTTCTTTTGTTTTTGTTCGCTGCAAAACCTGCTTTGCATATTTGATCTAATTTATTAGAGTGGAACTCGTTTACGGCGTTAAATGACATTTTGAAAATGTATTTTTTTTTCGTGGTCATCATAAGTTCAAAGTTTTATGGAACGAGCAATTTGCATTTTTTTCATTCCATTCGTGGACCGTTCGATATTTGAATCTGTTCATTGTGTTTTTATGAAAGTTTTTGAATGTCTTGAAATAGAGTTTTTCAATGAACACAAAAAAAAACTGTTTACGTTTCAAGCGCAGAGACCTACATATCATGAAGTACTTGTATGAAGCAATCTGATTGATTCAGCAAATCAATATGACTCGACACAATCACAGCGAGAGTATCAAAATTCTGGCATTGTAAAGTTTGCAAGTGGCAATAGATTCCAAATGGATTCTCGTAATAATTGACTGATTCAAAACATGTGATACATTGTCTCGTATCTTATTCGCCATATCGAGACAATGTTTTTGCCACTTCGTTCCAAAAGGTGCGATAGCCATTACGAATGTGATAATGCAAAGAGAGAACGGAACGTTACCGGGAAAAATCCCGCTCATTTAACGCGAAAAAGCGATAAAATCGTTGTTTTGTTCGTTTGTATTGCATGTGAAGTGAAACAGGTCTTAACCTATAGACCGGCCGCGCAAATGAGCATCCATTAATGGTGTTGATATAATCACTTCTTAGCGCGGTGCATAACCGCAACGCATACGAAATGACAGTCTCAAGGCAAAGAAATCTATAAACTAGTTTCCAGTTTGCAATGAGTCATAAAATGGAAAATTATGGATGAAATTCAGAAGTATCAATAATTTTCTCTCTCTCTCTCTCTCCCTCTCACTGCTGCTGCTGCTTCTGCTTATAGATTGATATTTACATTTTCCGTCGTAAACGCAACAAACTAGCTAGAAAGTGGATAAATCTCCGGATGTTGATTATTAAGCCAAAGTGCTCATTACTTTCCGCCAATACGCAATTTCACACATTCTCGATTAAGAATTCAATTTGGAATGGATTGAGTGTCTCTTAATGAATATTGCGGCTATAATTTCTTTGACATACGTATCAAAACGTGTTGAAAATGTCGGAATGCATTGGCAAGGGTAAACAAGACGTATTTCGGCGCCCATTACACAAAATGTTGTCATTAATTATCAACAATTTTCGGGAGTGCAAAACGTCATAATCATGCGCCCAGACCAACATCACTATATATTCAACCAATTAACGACTCTGCTGTAATTTTGCACTCACGCCGAGCAATAACAATTCGTCGGGAGAAAAAAAGAGCGAGAGAAAGAGAAAATAAAAACAGAATGACAGAAATGTCGTCATTTGCATGCATGTATGCCTTCGGAATTCGTTGTGCAGTCATTATATTTATTGCAATTATGTTTATATAGGCCGTGCGAGCGCAGATAAATAAAAGTCAAAAGCACGATAGCTGCCCAAGCCTAGAATATGACACGACCAATATATACGAAACGAAAAAAAAAAATGTTATATGTCACATGATTGAATCGGCTGTTTCTTATTTTGTTCACATGTTCATTTCAAGCATACACAAAATCAACGACAGCACAACACTAGCCGCTGGAGTTTTATGAATGGACTTTGAGTTTTGCCTAGACCTGCTTTGGTGTCACACATTTGTTTTTTTCTTACATTATATACCATTATATACACATTATATTAAATGCAATGGCTTTTTTTGTCGGTTGACACTATATTCCTCAGATCTGTATGTGATTATGACATGTGAACACATTGAAAATGGCTTTTATTTTATATGTGTCTAGTTGACCGTTTAAATTGAATGATATGTTATTTTACCGATGACGACAACGGACTCTCTCTTCTCTTTTGTCTGACACAAACAAATAAGACGTTGTTTGTTTGCATTTCAATTGAAACGTCAAATAACACAAAGCATAATAAATACAACCGCATTTTTCATAAATTCATTCACATAATAGAGCTGTTTTGCTCGAACGTTCATGCAATTTTGTTTCAGTTCCTGTGAATTTTAGACAAAACAAAAGAATTACAACTAAAATGAGCCGACAAATGTTATTCAGCGAGAAATGGTTGAAAAAAAATTAGTTCCATAATATCTACGATCACTGTGAATGTATCAGTATGTATCGTATGTGTTCGTCTATGCACACGATAGTTTGTTTGATCAGATGTTTTTCCACGAACTATTCCAACATCATACGAACCTAAAACTTATCTGAACAGAAAAAAAGACGGAAATTGTTCATATCGAAATCGAAATGAGCTCTGCGCACTTGAGGCAGTGAGCATCACCAAAGAGAGTCATATTGCTGGGACCAGCCCAAAGAGTCGAGTTTCTATTACCTGGAAATTGTCATAGAAAAACAAAACGCATATATGTTGAAACCAAATCGATACGCAACACAGCCGAAATAGATGAAAATCCGGTTTTTTTTTCGTTTCCAACACGGCCATTTCCAAAGTGATCGCTGTGCGACCATAAATGATACAGCTCAACGCGTTGTGTGTTTATTTGTTTTGGTGCTCTTTTTTCCTTGTTTACTTGCTTTAGTTTGTTATATATTTCATTCCCTCTTTCTTACTCGGTCTAATCGCTTTCGCTCGTCACACGTGTTTTTTTTTGATGTTGTGTATTGCTTGCGCTATGTGTGTGTATGTGTGAGTGAAATTATTTTAGTACGCAGTAAAAAATTTCTTAGCATTTTAAACGCTTGAAAATATTCTGAAAGACCTATAGCAAAAACAAACCATAACAATATAGTAAAACTGGGAGAATCTTCTATTATATAATATGAAATGTAGTATAGGTCCTCTTTTGGTCTATGCTATCATAGCTATTGAATGTATACTAGAGCAGCGTGTGACCGTAATAAATATTAGGAAAAAATGAAGTTCAGCACAAAGGCAACAAAGAAAAAAAACGATCTTTTTCACGGTTTTTTCTCTATCTTGTCCGATGATAGAGAGAATTGGTCAAATAAAACTCGAATGGAATTTATTCGCTTGATTTCAGACACGTGTTTGTACATATTCGCGGTTTACAAATGCGCATGAATCGCGAATCGATATTGTGTCTGGGTGTGAAAAACCGACTGACTGTATGCAAATAACTGTCCTGAAATGATAAAAAAAATCGAAATGATTTACTAGCGCAATATAAATACCAACTGTTCTCTCTCTCTCATCCTACAAGCAACTCCCACACAATTTCCCCGTTTAATGAGACGCTTAAACGCAAATGAATGTGTGTAAAAAGCATTTTGGTTGTTGTAACAAAAAACCGACACATGTTGGTTTTAACTATTTCCACGGAAATAATCTTAAAATACCCTACAAAATCGGCCAGACTTTAAATTGCATCAGCAAATGAGGCACACCAAAAACCTGAAGAAATCCACATAAAAAATACGACGGTTGTGCTTTGTTTTCATTGCAAATCTGACCGATTAATGTAAATTTTTACACGTTTACGTACACGATACGACAGTTGAATGCACAATGAATATGGTTTCGCATTTTGCAAACGAGAATTTAATACGAACAAAAAAAAGAAACAGAAATAAGAGGGTTAGAAAGTTGCAGTAGCATTGAATGAAAACGAGCTTGTTGAAATGTTGACTCAATTTTGCACGATATCGCATCGGTGACACTGATCATCGTTTTTCCATGAATTTCAACAACTGTGTAAATTCAAATAAGACTGTGTCTCTGTGTGGGTAAATGCGTGTGGAACGTGTAAGCAAAACAAAAGAAAATTTTACGTTTTTATTTGCATCTCACCGTTATCAAAGCTTTTTCTGTCCTATTTCACATCATAAACGACGTATCATTTGATATTTCGGTAGATTGTTCCGCTCGCTACTCTCTACTCTCGCCTTGTTTGTGATTATTTATTTTTGGATTTAGATTTTGTTTGAACAACAGCAATTCATTCAAATCGGTGATCTCTGTGCATTTTGTACCTGAATTCGGCATTTTGTACGTCGTTAAAAAGAGAGTAAAAATTATATAAGTCCATTGTTATTGCTTGGTTTAAGCCAAATTACAATTACATATACTACCTACATTATTATTAAAAAGGCGGTAAAAAAACGGATGAATCCAAAAATAAGTCGAATATTTCGGCGTTCGCATTCACAGGCACGTCTCGATGATCATTGTCACTGTTTTGTTGTTTTTGATTTTCTTTTTTTTTTTTAAGTAACGTTATCGAGCATTTCTGTGTAGGCCGGTAGCTTAGAAGACAAAAGACATATTTTTTTGACAGTGATTCTCAGTTATTTATCTGTCATTCTATTTTGGCCCAGATGTCAGCTCGTAAATTATGTCGATTGAATACGATCCATTCGCCTGAACATCGCATTTGATGTTCGTGCTTGGATAATGATAAAATTCAATGAATTTATGGCTTCAAGAGGCTTTCATTGATAGTTAGAATTACAGCTTAGCAATTGTGGGAGCTTTCATTTTAATTAAAACCGCGTTGATTCGAACAGCTCCAGTTTATACTGGATGAGTAATAAAATCGTTACTCATCATTTTTATAGTCGAAATACAGACAGAAATTCAACACAATAAAAAAAACGAGTCTGTTCTACGTCAATTAGGAGAATTTGTCTCATAACGCGAAGGTTTATAGCCAGCCACTGCAGCTGAATATCTATTTTTGAGCCTTTTTTTCTCTATAAATTCGTTCATTGTTGATCTCTGTGCTGTTTTTGGATCACATGACAAGATGAAGCCAGCGATTCGAATGTGTGAAATCGGTGAGGATGTTTTTTTTTAAAATAGCCTTTGTCCCGTGCTCAATGTTCAACCGAGATCGTTGCCAAATTTCTTATTTACTTTTTTCTAACCACACACAATGAAATTGGTGCAAATACAAAACCAAACGTCCCTCTCTAATTTATCATACATATGAACAACACCACAGGCCATAAGTTTGGATACCCCTATGAAAGATATTGTTTCTACGTTTTTTGAACATTTTCAGCTGAAATTTAGTATTGGACATGAAAATATATCGAAATTCTGACCGAATGGAAGATTTGGAAGACAACATTTGGCCGGCCTATGGCCATCTTTTGGCCTTTGAGCTGTGGGAGCCAAAATCGAAGTCTTTAACAGGCCATCGGATTAAAAAGGTTATATACGCCATTGGAAAGGTCTTGAAAAGTGGATGTGATTTTTGGTATTAAACATCAAAATCGGCCGGCGTTTGGCCAGAATATGGCCGTTTGTAATTTTAGGCCGAAATCTTCAATCAGCCATATCTTGGCCAAAAGCTGGCCGATTTTGATGTTTTCCACCAAAAATCACATCTACTTTTCAAGACCTTTCCAATGGCGTATATAACTTTTTAGTCCGATGGCCTGTTTAAGACTTCGATTTTGGCTTCCACAGCTCAAAGGCCAAAAGATGGCCATAGGCCGGCCAAATGTTGTCTTCCAAATCTTCCATTCGATATATTTTCATGTCCAATACAAAATGTTCAAAAAACGTAGAAACAATATCTTTCATAGGGGTATCCAAACTTATGGCCTGTGGTGTATTTCCAGAAATAGATGTGCAGAATGAAAAAAAATATTCGCCTTACATGTGTTCATTTGTGTTAGTTTTGGCATCTGATCAACTCAATGAATTACAACGAATCGCGTGATATTTACGAGTTCGGCTATGAAAGGCAACGGTAATGTCAAGACAATGTACTTACAGTATGTTAATTATATGCTTGAGAACTTGAGAATAATGTAAATAATGTGATGGCTCGTGACATTGCGATCTCTGCGACTATGAGGAAGTTTGATGGCTTCGCCGAAAAGGTTTTTGGCGCTTCGTTACTTTTGATCAAGTTGTGTTTTTTTTTTAAATGACCTTGTTTCAATGAAAAAGTTTGATAAAAAGAGCTGTCGTAGCTTCTAGAAGTCGATGCAAGCAGGGATTCAATATTCTAAACCACAATCTGTTGAATAATATGGCTATATGTATACGCCTTCAAAATCATTTCCCTGTTTTCCGTCTAAAACTTCCTGAATTACCCTAGAAAACAATTTTCTAAATACATTTCTTTACCTCTATTTACAGGTGTAGCCGACGGAGTCGGTGGATGGCGCAGTTATGGAATAGATCCGGGCGAGTTTTCATCATTTTTGATGCGAACATGTGAGCGACTTGTCGACTCAGCCAACTTCAATCCAAAACAACCTGTTAGTCTATTATCGTACAGTTACTGTGAATTGCTAGAACAAAAGAAACCAATTTTAGGTAAGTTCCGCGCCTCATATCTAATCGTCAACCACATTATTTGCGGTGTGTACTTTGGAATAGAGTTTTTATTCTGTTTTGATTGCATTCACCGAGACAGAATTTATTTGAACTATGGCAGATAGAGTCGACTATCGCCGGAGAATACGTTTCATTACGCCCATGTTATTATCATTTTCAAATGGAAACTACTCAAAAATACGCGGTCAGATCACGTTTTTCGATACAGCTAGAGTGAGAGAGTGTCACATGTGTGCGCGACGTTTTGAACAACAACATTGATTGGTCGCACGGTGTCATTTGCATATCTCTCAGTTCAAGCATGCCAAAGGCAAACAAAACTTGAAATAAACGAACTCTGCACAGTAAACAAACGACAATCGAAATGAATCAATAGAATGAATGTAACGGGACCGAATCGTGTAGCATCGCCACGCACATATGAACATACAGAGAAACACGGTGATTGACTGCGGATCAAAGTCCACAGTGGAACGATATATTCAATTTATTCTAAATCAAAAGCGAATCATAAATTGTGGCTCACATCCGGTGCGAGTAAAATAGCTGCAACGACAAAACAAAAACACTGTACCTGGGCTTTGTTCAGAATGCAATCGCAGAAAAAGTGCACAGCACACAAGGTGCACTTAAAACATCAACAGCTTAATAACAATGCAATACAAGAGGGAAATTAAAAAAAATGTGGAATAAAATACGTAGTTATTTACTGGAAATAATAGTTTCCCTTCAAATTACCGTTTCTCTCGGAATAATTTGAGCACGCAAATTCATCGTCGAAAATCGTACGAAATCATACAAAGTAATCTTTTTCTGCAATACAATTGCTCTGCTTCAGACTCTTTGAGACGGTATTTAAGTTTAGAGAGCTAAAATCACTCAAACATTTGTAAAAGCGAACGCTATCGAAAATTACTAAGAACGCAAGAGAAAATCTGAATTTTAAAATTGATCGCACGAAAATGGTCGGAAAATACAGTAGAAAAATATAAAAAAAATTCCGCTCTGCGTCTCTCGTTCGATAGCTGTGCTTGGAATTGGGAGAAGGAACAAGCACATCAATAACACGAACAACCACCATTTCAAGCAAGAAAATACGATTTTTAAACGATACTATCCCATTACGACCTGGCGTCTATCCAAAAATTCGATTCAGTTCTGCGATTGGTATGCCTGAGCAATTTGCGTGTGCGTTTTATTTTGAATGTTTGTAAACGACACAAATGCAAATTAAGCGCTTGGACTCATCGGAAATTCACTCAATTTGGTCAACATTTGTGACAGTCATCAAATGAACGCTTTGAAAAATCGCTGTTTTCAATTTTGATTTTTTGGGCGTAGAAAACCAGATTTTTACTCTCAAAAACCGACTACATGGAAAAATGAATTCTTCTCAAATTTCAATGATTCCACCTGAACGCTTTCAAAGTGGTATTGACAAAGTGGTGCTTCGATTCCATTATCTCGTTATTTACATTAAAAACAAATAGCATGTTAGTGATGCCATAAACATGAAAAATCAGTCTGGAGCAGTAAATTGTAAAAAAAGAGGAAACTCTTCATAAAATGATAGACAGTTTGAAAAGGGCCGACTTGTGATTCGAAAGATTGCTTTAATTGCAGCTATTTCCACTTCCACAGATAAAACGGAGAGCAATCGTAAGCCGCTGTTGAATGCACAATCAGGAAATTTACAATCACAAACATTTGAAAGTATGACACAAAAAGGAACAAATCACATTCACACCAAACTGTTGATAGATTGGCGATAAAGAGAGAGATTTACGTCAATCATTACTCAACCACACTAAATAAACTATATTAATTTTCATTTTAATGATTACTGCCTTTATCACCCTCTTAAAAATGAATCGACAAACAATAATTATGGCACAATTTTTGCTGTGCACTATTTCAGCGCCTTCGTCCGGTGCTACACTGTATGACATTGAATTCCCGAGTTTATTGTCAATTGAACAAAAATGCCCTATTCAAATACATACTTCTGGATATTTATTCGTTGATTCGTTAAATTTATGGCGCTCACTAAAGCAATTTGTGAATTAAAGCAGCCGCTGTATGGATTAACACACGAGCATGTGATGAATTTACAATATATATGTGAATGTATTCAATTTGGCGCTTGCCACCAATTTGCCATCAAATCGAAAATTGTTCATAAATGAAACGCTATTGATTGTTTGCAGGTCACCGCAACTAATGTTGTCCAATATTCTGCATGAAAAATTCGTATCACAGTAAACTAACTGCTTTATTTTATTGGTAATTTGTCTGTTAATAGGCAGTAGCACGGCGTGTGTACTGATATTGAACCGAGAGAATAGCACCGTGTACACAGCGAATATTGGTGACAGTGGATTCATTGTGGTACGCAAGGGTCAAATAATCCATCGATCGGAGGAGCAACAGCACTATTTTAACACACCGTTCCAATTGTCGCTGCCGCCACCCGGCCAAAATGTGCTCAGTGATAGTCCGGAATCGGCCGATTCACTCAGTTTCCCCGTCGAGAATGGTGATGTCATTTTGGCAGCCACTGACGGCGTTTTCGACAATGTGCCGACAGATTTACTTCTGGATATATTAAAGACCGTAAGTTTGTTTTTTGCTCACTCTCTTTCTATTTATACCCTTCCATAAAATGTCTTCTATTTTAATTTATACGTGAACGATAGTAAAATCGAAGTAAACACAATAATTCCGAGTAAAATTGGCATGTTATGGCGCAATTTTCGTTTTATTTCCATAATACTGTACTCATTTGATGTATTTCGATTATTTCAGTGCGAGGGTGAGAGTAATCCAGTGAAACTTCAAATGACTGCAAATGCCATAGCACTAATGGCTCGGTCGCTATCGTTCGATAGTGAATTTATGTCGCCATTCTCCGTGAATGCCCGACGAAGTAACATCCACACAACCGGTAAGTGTTGAATAAGATGGAAATCCGTTCATTTCCTCAAATTAGCAGCAACAAAACTAATTTGTCATTTTTTCCGCAATTTTATTTCAGGTGGCAAACCAGACGATATTACTGTGGTACTAGCGACAGTTGCGACATAAACTCCGCTTGAACTCATTTATCCGAATGCCATTTGTGCATAAAATCTAAATCTAGGGAAAACTATGAAACTATACGTTAATTTTTAAATACTAGATGTAATTAATCATTTTTTCGAAGAGAAAAGTGGTTAGGAAACAACAAAATAATGGCGTGTTCAGAGATAAAGTAGAAGAAGAAAGAGAAACCCATGGAATATAAAGTTTGCATTGTGAAAGAAAACTATCAATTCTCATAACGATCATAAAATCCAACTCATTTTTATTGTTCAAAAATTCATCATCAAATCAAAATCCACAAAAATCGAATGAACGAAAGAAAAACCACGGCATTTCATTGCCAATACTTTAGAAGAAAAAAAATTTGTCAAACACAACGAACTTCAGTGGAATTTACCTATATATTTTTGTTTTTAGGAATTTTTCTGTTTGTTTCTTTTACTGTGTTCCTTTCTGAAGAACAAAGAATGAATAAACGAATCACATTTGAAAAAAAATTGATTGAAAAATGAAGCAGTTCGTGTGTTTGTTTATTTTGGCGGAACATACAAAATACACAAAACAAAACCCATCGAGTTAATCACTAAATCTATCAAAATCAGACGATAACGACGCCGCCGGCATCATTTGTTCATTCCATTTTTCGAACCACATGACCTTACCCATTTGGATTATCACTGTCGCAAGCAATTCAATAAGATGCAGTCGATTTTCGGAAATGATTTGCATTTGTTGTTTTTCAAAAAAATAAATATATATGGCTCAGTATACGTACGAAAATGTGTTTTCCAACGGCAAACGGTTAGTAAATTAGGTTTAGGATTTAGCCATCCGGCTTGGCTTGGCTTGGCTTGACTCGCTCTGAATATACAAGAATTATGTCGAAAAATCCACACATTTCACACCGATAACAATGCCTTCAATAATCTTTGAGTAATGCAATTCTTTTGTGATGCAGGGCAACACGATACAGATATAACACAAATACAAATTATGACAAGTACATACAGTAGAGGAATACCGCTTTGTTGAACATTGTATTTAATGGAATAAAATATACAAGTGTTATTAATGTCAAATTTGATTGAAAAATGAACACAAACACACATGCATACAACCCGAAAAAGCAAACCAAAATCCACAGTGATCCATTTAGGTGCACCAAATTTTATCAGCCCAAAGATCTGCCAAATGGGAATAATGGAAAAAGAAGAAGAAGAAACACAACTTCTGTGTCATTTCAAATCGATGTTGATTTCTTTTTTCTTGTGTAAATAGATTTAATCTCATTTAAGTGATATCATAGACTGCATGCAAATTAAATGTAAACAGATGATAAGTATAATCAACCAACAGCGCACTATGATGCCAGAGAAAGCAACACTTTAGTTAGCAAATTGTAGTGCAGCGACAGCTATTTGTGTGAACAAACACCGACCGATGAACAAAATATATTTGAAGATAGATTTGCACCTATTTGCTATTCACACATACACGCGTACACATAGAAATACAGTAGGAGAGGATAAGAAGAAACAATTGAATTTAGAATGAAGCTTAATGGAGAGGTCAGGGAAGGCATTGCAACCTGTTAAATCGTTCGGATATTCTTATATTATATCCACATTGCATACCAGCCAATTTTGGAGCTGAATGTATTCGCACTGGAATGGTATTCGACTGCTTAAACCTATGAAACTTAAAGTTAGCAACTAAACTGTTGATCCACATGGAAATAAATTGAAATTGACTTCATTTTCGTAGATTATTCTTTTTTTTTTCTGATGACTTGAACCACCTCAAGGAGTTTTTAGAGGTTTTTTCATGATTTTATGTAGGACACAACGAAAATTTGTGTTATTTTATTAATTATTTTCGGCTATTTCCCTTTCCATACGTCATATGAAGCAACCCAAGAGAAACGGCCAATATGTTTATACGCTGTCTATCCGCCGAAAATACACTACAATATATATTCACGCTTATTGGACGCCGAATTCAATATATATTCTAGTGTATTTTCGGCGTATTCTTCAGCGTGAAACATATTGAAACATATTCAGGCGCCCTCTGATGGCCATGAATGCATTCATTGATTCAATATGTTTCACGCTGAAGAATACACCGAATATACACTAGAATATATATTCAATTGGGCGTCCAATAAGCGTGAATATATATTGTAGTGTATTCTCGGCGGATAGACAGCGTATAAACATATTGGTCGTTTCTCTTGGGAAACGATTCTTATTTTGTCCTATTTTTTGGAAACCCCGCAAGGATTTAATTTCAATTCGGTGTTTCAAGAGAATATCTCTACCAGCATTCTTGATCATAATACATTTTTGGACACAAAATTGGCAAAACGTTTTTTTGAACCATAAATTCAGTTTGAGTAATATTTTGTATGTACTATTAAAATGCCTAATATTTAGGTTGTCCACTTTTATTTGTAATCCATTTGAATCCATATTAAACCATTTGATTTGGTGAATGAGCTATCCCAAGTTATCCAAACAATTTTGTCGACACGATCGTAAAATAATCGAAAGTTGTTAGTAGTGACTAAATGATATAGCGAGAGTTATGAAATATAAACGATATTAAAAAACAAACACATCATGGTTTTATTTGTTTTGAGACTTTTTTGAATTTTAATTTTTTTTCCTACAGGAATGCCAGAGGCTCAAAGGTAATTATGTCGTGACATCTATCGATTCAGAATCTATTTCTATTACAGGTTATAAATGCTTTTCAGTGAAATGATTTTGATGTTCCCAATAATTGCAACAAACTTCCAAAAAAAGAACACTGTTGATATTGTCGCAACCTTGACATTAAATCTGACAGCGCCATCGCAATTATTTGAAAATTCGCTAGACTAATACAATCAAACATTATTCTCCAACATTACATGTATATCTCACTTCTCCAGTGTCAAGGTGTACGTTAGTGCGGACCAAGTATCTCATTCAAATTTCGTAGCTGTCATTCGTCGTTCATGCAAACCAACACTTTGTATTCAACGCTCCAACGAAGGGATTGTGTTTTGTCTTCAAGATTGGCTGATGCAAATTGCGCAATTTAAAAATTCAGTTTATAAACAGCATAAAATTTTCAAAATCAATAACTATTTGTGAGTATATTCAATTTGGATGCGATCGCGATTGGTTTTTTCTCTTAAAAACGAGTAAAAAAGATTTTCTCTTTGGTTCATTGTTGCATTTGATATACACGAAACAGGCTGTTGTATTACGACACAAAATGGCGTCCAGCAAACATGAGAACGAATTATCAACGGGACTTTCAAAGTTTGCTCTCGATTTGTACTCGGTAAGTGCATTGAAAATTTGTATTTATTCATGGAAGTATTTCACCGCATGGATTTCCATAGATTAAAGCCATTCTAAATCCAATAGGAATGCGCGCATTCAAGCGATCAAAACGTTGTCATTTCTCCGTTGAGTGTGGCGAATGTTCTTACTTTGCTCTCGCAAGCCGCAAATGGCAAAACATACGACGAGCTACGTCGGGCACTGCATTTGAATGCAGACAAAGCAGTAATTGCACACCAGTTTGCCGAATTCAGCAAACAAATTGAAGACTGCATTGGAAAAGCAAACTTGTCGATCGTTAATCAAATTTACGTACAGCAAGGAATGATGTTGAACTCCGATTATCGCGATATTGCCATGAAGAATTTTGGTGCAGGCATTGAGCCAGTTGATTTCGACAAACCACACGAGACCGCGCAAACCATCAACCAATTTGTCAAAGAAAAAACAATGGGAAAAATTCCGAATGCTGTTAAACCGGAAGTTTTTGGTGGCAACACTTGTGTTGTCTTGGTGAATGCCATATCGTTCAAGGCCAACTGGTGTCGAAAATTCGCCACCGGTTCGACTCGAACGGGTGATTTCTACATCAGCGAAAGTGACACCACTCAAGTTCAATACATGACTCATGAATCATACTTCAATTACACGGTGCTAGATGAATTGGACGCCACCGCATTGCAAATAGGTTACAAGGAATCCGAATTTTCATTCGTGGTTATTCTTCCGAACACTCGTTTGGGCTTAAGCGAATTGGAATCTCGGTTGAAGAATTACGACTTGTCAAAAGTCATCAATCGAATGTCGAAAAAGCTTGTTGACGTCAAACTTCCACGGTTCAAGTATGAATATGAGGTTCAGCTTAATTCGATTTTGCAAAAGGTATTAGAACTCCATTTCGAAAATATAAATGGCTGATTTCCTGAATGTGGGATACTATTTTCTATTCAGATGGGTATGAGCGAGATGTTTAAACCAAAAGCTGATTTGCAAGGAATGCTGGATCCGTCTATGGCCGGTCTTCCACTCATCGTGTCAACTGTGCTTCACAAAGCCGTCATCGAGGTCAACGAGAGGGGTACTGAAGCTACCGCTTTTACAAGTGAGTTAATAAACATTTGTAACATTAAATCTTGAAATATGGGTTTCATTTCATTTTCCATCGTTTTACTTCTAGGGGCTGATGTGTATAGATGTGCACGAAGTAGTGATTCGATCAATTTTAATGTCGACCATCCATTCTTCTTCTTCATTGGAAGCGCTACTTTATCAACACCAGTTTTCTGTGGATCTGTTCACAAGCCTGAGGCTTCAATTCGTCCACGATTCTAATCAAAATGATTAACTTACGAAAGTGCAAATACTTTCTATGATTCAAGCAAATTGAATAGCTTTAGTATTAAGTCAGATTTAATCTTTATACATCTGTAATTCAAATATTCGTTTATATTTGTTTCGAAATCTGTACTACATTTTCTAGTACAATTTATAATTCAGCCTTGTCATGAAAAACCCCTTAATATGAACGCATTTTCAATGATTTTTCCTCACCGATTACAAAATCAGAAGACTGCAAAATCAATTAAATCTATCAAATGTAATTCTTGTGCTGACAACAAAATGCAAATCAATAAAGGATAATTATTGCTACTTACATTTAGTACTTTATCAGATAAATTAGAGTGAAAATCTTCATGGTCAATTGTTGATGATCCTAAACTCAGAAAAACATCATCAAATTCCCCTGATTGATTGAATTGATATTTGAATGAGAATTAATTCAAATAGTTTCATCAAAGCTACACAAGTGATAATGAATTTTTTTCCCGAATGAAGACTATTTTTGATCAAAGTCATATACAATACTTTTGCCTTTTTTAATGAAAATAATACAATAATATAGTTCACAGCAAAAAATAAAAGTCTACATCTGGGCGTTTTTTCAGCTAAAGACTCATTCAGCCGATATTTCTGCTAGTACCTTGAGCTACAGGCGAAATTCCGCTTATAATCTAGTCGGTATTTCGTCTGAAACTCCGTTTGCTAGGCAAAATATAGGACTGGGCGCCTCTACCAGTCGAAATTCCGCCTAAATGTGGACATTTATTTTTGACTGTGTTGTTAAAATAAAAAAATTCAGTTTGCTTTTATTTTCGATCTAGTGGAATTTGGTTTTGGTGGAATATTAAAATGCAATCAAAATTAAATTGAAAAATAGCGATCGACAGCGCCACCTCAGTAGAACCACATTTGGAATTCAGATCTCGCTAAACTAATACAATCAAACATTATGATCCAACATTTTGCATCAACTGTATACATCTCATATCTTCAGAGTTAACATGTTGTCATTTCTCCGTTGAGTGTGGCGAATGTTCTTACTTTGCTCTCGCAAGCCGCAAATGGCAAAACATACGACGAGCTACGTCGGGCACTGCATTTGAATGCAGACAAAGCAGTAATTGCGCACCAGTTTGCCAAATCCAGCAAACAAATTGAAGACTGCATTGGGAAGGCAAACTTGTCGATCGTTAACCAAATTTATGTGCGTCAGGGCTAAAAATTGAACTCCAATTATCGTGATATTGCCATGAAGAAGTTTGGCGCAGGCATTGAGCACGTTGATTTCGACAAACCACATGAGACCGCGCAAACCATCAACCAATTCGTCAAAGAAAATACCATGGGAAAAATTCCAAGTGCCGTTACACCAGACAGTTTTGGAGACGAAACCAGTGTTTTCCTGGTGAATGCCATATCGTTCAAGGCCAAATGGTGTAATCGGTTCCGTTCATTCTTAACTAAATCGGGTGAATTCCACATCAGCAAAACAGACACTGCTCAAGTTCAATTCATGGAAAATCGATCGTACTTCAATTATGCGGTGCTAGATGAATTGAACGCCACCGCACTGCAAATGGATTACGAGGAATCCTATTTGTCATTCGTGGTTATTCTTCTGAACACTCGTGTAGGATTATACGAATTGGAATCTCGTTTGAAGAACTACGACTTGTCAAAAGTCACGGATCAAATGACTTATAAGCTTGTTGATGTCAAGCTTCCACGTTTCAAATATGAATGTAAGGTTCAGCTATGTAAAACTCTATTTGAAAGTAAAAAAATGCGAATGCTCGATTTGCTGAAAATAAAATTGATTTTTTTTTATTCAGATGGGAATGAATGAGATGTTCAAGCGAGACGATGCCAATTTGTGGGGAATGTTGGATCCGTTAATAATCGGTCCTCCTCTCTTTATTTCAAATGTGATTCACAAGGCCGTCATTGAAATCGATGAAGATGGTACTGTAGCTGCCGCAATTACAGGTAAGTAATCAACGTTTATAACATTTAACAAACGAGCATCATTTTATCGTTGCTTCTCGGAGGTGGACGTAGAGAACCACCAAAACCAATCGATTTTAATGTCGACCATCCATTCTTCTTCTTCATCGGAAGCAGTACTTCATCAACGCCAATTTTTTGTGGTTCGGTATACAAGCGATAAACAAGTGGTCCACAATTCGATTTACCAACATTTTCTTCTTAAAACGTGTTTTGTTAGCCTTTAAATTGAACAAATCAAATGCTATGCCTTCAAAAATTTAGAATATTGATTTTAGTAGTAAATTAAAATTATCTTTTTACATCTCCGTTTCAAATATTTGTTCAATTCAAAGGTATACAACTTTTTCCTACAAAAAATGACACTTACTACATTTTGTAGTAATTTATAATGCAGCTCTGTGCTATTAATCACAAAATTAGTTCTCTCCATACTTGAAAAAGATAAATTAGTGACAACAAAAAGTAAATCAATAAAGATAAATCAGTTTATTTATACAATAGTTTTACTTATTTCTCAAGCAATTCAACAAATAGTATACTGCCCATATCGTAGAATCAGTTGTGTTTTATTTTCAACAAAATCCCCGAATTTCTCAAATCAAATAATAATCACCTTAATCAATCCAAATTGTAAATTTGTTGCTGCCATCCGATTAGAACAAGTTATCATTTTCAAGTCTGTGTATCTACTTCATCAAAATTCCAATAACATCAAATATGTAAAATGTTTTTGATTGTTTCAAGGGTTTTAAATCGATAGTAGATCATAACAATTCTTTCCGAAAGCTTCAATTACTTTTGAACGATTCATCATGATTCGAGTAGAATTTTGTACAACTGGAAATAGACCAATGACATCGAATTTTTATTTTTCTCGGTCAAGAAATATTTTCGTACCATGTTGATTGGATTCTCTGTGTTTCGATAAACAGAGAGGTGTGACATATCACAATAGGACGTGTGGAATGTAGCAGTTGATCATCCAAATTTGAATATCAAACAGCGAATAAAATTTTGTTGGATTGTTTTTGTTTTTATTATCAAATTCAACACTTTTCCGTTACATTATTTTCATTTTACCATCTAATAATACAATTTTGACTTCCGCGACATTACACAAGTAATTGTAATCTGAACGTAACGAACAATACTCGAATTTATATTTTAAACTTTGCAAAAGTATACATTTCCCGAAGATGCATCTTTAACAACTATAAAATAAGTCACAATGCTCTATTTGGCGCGAACTCGATCTCCATGAATGAATGGCAGCACCCACATCGTTTCGGCAAGTATTAGGTACACTATGTTCCATGTTCACATGTTCCCATGTTCCCATTTTCATTGGTCCAATCGGCTGAACTTAATGGCTAAATATCGATAGAGCTTCATTTCATCGTACCAAATCCCAAACGGAATATTTTTGTGATGGCTGTTCAAGGCATCGTGCGCGAATACTCCTTAAGCTGACGAGATAATCGGTAGAAGAGAGTGGACTAAAGAACGCGTATTGATCATATGCTGGATTAGGATAATAGCTACACAGATAATCATTTTGAATCCTTCTGAGTAATTTAGAAGTAAAAGTTCGTTGTGTTTTGACATCGGTTTCACTTGTCTTTTCTGGTAGATGATTCCCATTGTTTTGAAAAACCACTAAAAAAACTATGAAACTGATGATTCGCCACGATGACATTTTGCAACTGTGATTATTAGGAAAACTGCTTTTAAAACGATGAAAATTAATTCGTTCTGATTTGATTTAATTCGATTTAGTTCTTTTTCCAGCAAATTGTAACTTGGATTCAACTTTTTCAATGGTTTTTTTTTCACTTCAATACTTTTGTCAATAATTATTTTTGTTGAAATTTAATCAATTGATCGTCTTTTTCTCCCTGGTGGCCGAAAAAATGCTTCCGAAACTGTGATCCTCTCGAAATTGAGCTGCCATTCAGTCGCCACCTGTATTTATACCAAAGCTACATATTGCTAACAAGTCAATTAATCAGTGCATCAATCACAGGTGCCATTTTCATCGTTTTAACGTAACCGATCAATGGTACCGGGTGTTTGAATGACCGAAAAAGGTGTTAATAAATGACAATTATCAACTTCGGCTGTCGCTATTTTTGCGTCAATAACATGAGTTTTGAGTGAAAACAATCATTTTAAGTAGGTGTACTAATAAAATTTGAGTCGATGATAAACAACACTGTGACATAGAGAGAACTGAGAGTCTGAAGTTAAGGGGTAGGTATTTTGGCTAGACCTATTTTGATGAATGTTTGTGAAAACCAACAGTTTAAATTTAACTTCAAGAGCTATTGAACGCTATTAAATCAATTTGATTGCAACATGTTAAAAAGATTATTTTTCAAATTTTATGCCCCTTTTAGTCGGCAGTGACGCACGACGAAATTGAATGAATCGCGAACTACGCTAAGATGCAAATTGGACGAGAGTAAGAATTTGTAAATATTGTTTATATTTACAGTGATGAGAATGTAAACGGAGCTTATTGACGTCGAAAATTGTGCCGAAGAATGTGAATTGTGCGTTCTGCTATTCGGAGATCATTAAAAATAATTGGAAAACAAGATATGTGTCGTGGACTTTTGCATTAGTTTTAAGTTTTTTTTTTGTTAATTTTAATTTCGTGTTTGTTTCATTGATTTTTTTCTAATTTGCTCATTTAGTTTGCTCATGCATTGTTCAGTCAAACCACCGAACGCTGAACGCACTCACATTTGCTCTCGTTTCAAATGCGTTCTGCGACTTGACTGACATTTCGTTGTGTGTTTGTGTGAGTAACATTCATGCTAAGACGCTAATACAAAGGTAAGTGTATTGCGATGTGGCGACAGTTTGAAGAGAAGGAAAGAGTGAAATCAGTTCTTCATGAGTCTCAGCACAGGACAGTTCCTTTTTGAATTGGCAGTACAAGTTGTGCGCAATTTAATCTGAGTTCTCATTGATACTCGATACACGGAAAGTTTCCATAAGTATCAGCACAAGTTGTGCATATTTCATTTAGGAAATCTCTTCGAATTGGCCAGCTCTAAAGTTTAGACGGCTGATTTGATAATTTCTTGAATGAAATAAAAGTGAAACACGCGAAACTCGAATTGGCTAGCTCTAAAGTTTAGACGGCTGATTTGAGTGTTTGTCTAAACGTAAGTTGAATCGCACGTAAATTCAAGTTGAATTATTGCGTCGAGAAGTTCTCGTTGGCCGGTTCAAACTTCATGTTTGACAAACATTCGCCTGTTTCCATACATTTTCTTCGATACCATCACGCAAATTTCACGCTTCCACACTCAGACACACAATCGAAAGAACATTCACACACCAAATCACCACAAGCATTCAAAAGAACAACATTTGAATAAATCTACCAAAAATAAATTGACGCCTTTCATTTTCTTCATTTTGAATCAACTTTGGCAGCAATAAAAAGGCATATTGCGCCACAATATGAGTAAATATAAATTGGTGCAAAAACAATATGAAATAACTTATTATTCATTCGATTTTTAGTTCTAATTGTACAAATAAACAGCGAAATGTATCATTACATCGTTTCTACTTGTTTGTTTTTTTGGTAAATCTCCTGGATTCACATTAAGCCATATAAGTGTAAAATGGCTGTGGCATTGAGTGGGAGAAATTAGCTTTTCTGCACAAATTGTGGACTTCTCCTTGTTGCGATGTTGATGTTTCTTTGTAAAATGACTGCAGTTACATACAATTTTCTAAATGGTTGGGAAAAGGGCATAAATGTATTGAAATATGAAATACTCTGTGGACTTGAATACATGCTTCAAAGAATGATTAAACTCTAGTTAAATTATACCGCTTTACCGATGCACATAATATCTTACATTGTTCTTACACATATCTAATGACAAGAGTATTATTTCCAGTCCTTTTTCGATGCCATTACAATGATCCATTTTCTGATCCGGAGGAAACTAAATCGCTTCGAAGCTGGTGTATAGCAAGCTTTTCGCCTTGGAAAATTTTTTGACTTTATTCTCCAATTTCAATAGTTTTGGGAAAATGAAATTCATGTTCGGGCCACAATATCAATCGGATAATGGATCGTTACAAGACCAAAACAGAAAGCATTGTAGATAATAACCGTAGAATACATGTTTGATTATTTTTCTGTGGATTTTTCATCAGACAAAGAGAATAGCGATGGATATGAGTCAATCAGCGAATATGTGAAGTTTCGAAAATTCTGGAGCGTGCGGGCATAAACGAAGAGAACAAAAAGCGCTCATATTTTATTGAAATTTACTACATTTGAAATGTATTTGTTCATCCGTAACTCACGCCTGGAAAAAGACTGAAACACTCTTTTACGCCTTAGGAATAGATTTTTCGTGGAATAGGTGTCCACATTTTTAAAATGTCTGTTCGGAAATTGACTTCGAAATTTGGTTGTGATAATTTTTTCACTTAGTGCAAAAGAGTGACATAGATTTGAATTTTTCTAAGTGACAATCGATTATCAATTGATTAAGAGTGATCGATCTCTGACCATTGAATCTAGCCTTGAACACAATCTAACAAGTCAAAAATAAATAGAATATTTTATATGCTAAATAGAATGTAGATGATGGGTCACAATTGTAGAAAAATGAAGTAACATTTGAATAAAGTCATCCTGTTCGATAATATATGCATGCACATAAACGCAAACACTCATTTGAACCTACGCCATTGGATATGCTTTGAACAGGTCAACTGAAAACCATTCAGACCACTTCGTTCGATTCAAGATAAATCAAGTTTAAATGTGCTTATGATTCCACAAAAAGTTGCTGGTTTTCTCGCATCCTGAAAGCGTGTCACATAGAATTTTCGTGTGAACAATAGATATTTTTTGTATTCAAAACCCCCACAGTGCCGGACTGAATTTGAAAATTTGGTTGCATCTCTTCCCTCTGCTTCATTTCTCATCATCAGGTCACGCTAGTAGTAGAGGCTATAGCTTTAAAATGATAACTAATTGTATCCAGTTCAAATTGGTGCTTTGTCGACAACTATCCACTTTGATGCCTTATAATATATCCAAAAAATGTATCTTTTATATAGGTGCAACAGAAAAAAGACGACACAATGAAATCGTATTCCTTCATTTTTGTTTACAATTGTGATCTTATAAATGGTTCAATAAAAACGGAATTATCATTTACATTTACTCTATCTCTATCTTTTTCTTTTTGGTTTATTTCGGTGGAATAATCAAAACTAGTAAATTGTGCACGTCCTTGTGTTGAGACGATACAGCATTTTGTAACAAAATTGCTTCTGAAAAAAACGTGTATATTCCACGCAGAGTGTAAAATGGTTGTGACATTGAATGAGTTGGCGTTCGGTTTCATTTTTTTTATACAGATGTTGAATGCACTGGATTCAATTTTTCTTCGTCTCCTGAAAATATCAAAATAAATATCTTGAAATATGAGCAAAACAGGAGATGTATAAATTCATGCATAAATCTATGTACAGAGGTTTTCACAATTCACAGTCAACCTACCTCCAGATATCATGCGTATGGACCATGATGGTCAAGTTAACACGACTTACCACCATTTTTGCAAACGAATAGTCGACATGGATATCATTTGATAGGGCTGGGAACGGGAATGAAAAGCGTGACATAGGATTATTCAATGGTATTTTTAGAAATCGAAAGAAAAACATTTTCAGACATTTCGAGACATTGTGGAATGAGAGATAT